TGTTTGGAGGAATTAGTATTAGGTACAGGGGTGGGGCCGGAATTTTCCCAAGGTGGGTCTGAGTAATTGCGTGGGTGGATCTAAAACTGCAGGGCAGGGTTTGCGTTTCCCCAGGAAAGAGGCGAGACTAGTACTTGAGAATTCCCTTGATGAGGCAGAAGTGCGTGTTTTACTGAACCTTCAGTAAAGGAGAAGAGCCAGCCTTTCAGAATGCTATTGGTCTTAACCTAACCTACCGCTCTCTCTGCGCCCAGGACTCCCCAGTGCTGCATTTATTTTCCGTGAGGGCGGTCACAGCCGATGAGATGGTGAGCTGCAAAGTGGAGAAGTGGGTTGGGAAGGTGGGATCCAGAGGCCCAGTGCTGAGAGCCCGGGGAAGAAGGGGTTTGTGGGAGGGTCATTCTTTCCCCTCCTCAACCGCAGGCTCCCACACTAGATTTGAAATCAAAGGAGGAGAAGGACGCTGAGTTGGACAAGAGAATCGAGGCCCTGCGTCGGAAGAATGAGGCCCTCATACGGCGCTACCAGGTGCCCTAGCCCTGCCCCGGGAGACCCCATCCCCTCTCCCCGCAGTGAGTCATTCCCCGCAGTGAGTTTTCCCACCTCTGCCTTCAAGCTTTCTCATGTCTCCCTTCACTCACAGGACGCAAGCCAAAGGCCTTAGTCTGGCCTCCCTTCCTCCATCCCATCATTCATTCATTCATCCATCCGCCCATCCATTCATTTATATTCTGCTCCGTGAAGTCTCCAGAGCCCTAGCTCCGTGTTGTGTGGTGCTAGGGATGTATTCCCGAGAATTCTCTTGTAGTTCGAAGTCCAGTTTGGGACATAGTTGCACTCTGTGATGACCCAGACTAGACAAGGCTGGGATGGGAATTAACAGGTCTGTGGGAGTCTAGAGTTCTCCACCCCCTAGCCTGAGGATATTAGGGAGGACTTTCTGGTAGAGGGCATTCTGAGAACTAAAGGGTGCCTCCATATTAGCTAATTGGGAAGGAGATGGGTTATCTTTCACACAAGACGGGCAAATGTTTGGATGCAGAGAGGGCTTGGAGGGTCAGCTGTTTGGAGAGCTGTTGTAGGGAGGTCATCAGGGGCCAGCCATGTCGGGTGGAGAATGCTTCATGGTCCTAGAGAGGCCGTGGAGGGCTTTGAATAGGAGTGACACTTGGCTAGGATAGCTCTTTGCAGGGACTCTCATTTATTCTGTTTGGTGTGGATGAGAGGGAGTCCAGATAGGAGGGAGAAAGCTGGGGAAGGCGTCCTAGTTGGAGAGGACTGGCCTGGCTCAGACTACATTGTTGAAAAAGTCTTAGTGACCAAGGGCATCGGGGCTATCGTGGGAGGGGGAGGGAGGGTCCAGAGCAGGGCCCAAGAGGAGGTTGTGGGGCTGTCTTCAGGGAGGGTCCTGGGAGGGGGGTGGCCTCATTGACTCATTCTTCATGCATTCATTCATTAAAAAAAAAAAAAAAATGGGTTTGATTGTGTGCCAGGCCGCACTGCTGGCCGGGGTTGGGGGGTGGGGGTGTGCACCAACGAACAGTCCGGCAGGTATCCCCGTGTTTTGTCAAGCAGGGGATGAGAACAGAGATGCTGGCAAGTAGGTGGTGAGACCTTTGGAACCTGAGGAGAGACA